ACGTCGAGGGTAGTACGCGAGTTCGAAGTGGAATAGAGAGAAAACCATTTTACCACCTGATTGGCTGACAAGCACGCGAGTGAGAGAAAACAAGTCAGATGGAACACCACTCGATTTATTCTCGATTCCGATCTGGTTCCCGATTTCAGAACAGTGTAAAAAGACACATGAATAAACAGATGACTAACCCGACCACAACGTAAAATAATTAGGAAAATACATCTATGTCCAAAACTGGGGATTAGAGTAGAAAACAGAGTACAAAATTACAATAGCTTTGGAACAAAAAGGGCTATGGCAGTGAATCATACATCAAACGAAAGCTTATGATCTGTAGAATAGATCAGGAGCAAAAATAAATATTACTGCTTCACAAGCTTTGAATTAAATGAAATAACGTCCCGCAAAATTGCTTCCGTAGTTTGTCAAGGCTTCTTGTTTCTCTGTTCACATCAGGTATATAGTAAACAAAATGATATGCTCAATTATTGCCACAAAGTATTATTTCTTGCTTGTTATCTCTTTTTAGTACTTTCAAACTTTAATGATGCTAGCAATCAGATACCGGGACCTCAGTTTGTTGCATTTCTACATTTGTTTATCATTTTTTGTGCAAGTTATGACATCTGAGATGATTTGTTTGCCATAATCTCTTATGTTGCAACTCAGTCTTGTATATAATCTAAATGTAGAGGTTTTCCCTTATAACTAAATAAGGTTTCATTTAGTAAGCCATGAGCTACTGTTAAGAGGAAAATAAATGTATTATTCAGTGGTGGGCTGTATACAATAATTCACTTAAATTTTGGATTATATAAGCATACTTAATAACTGATAAATTATCAACCACAGGTCACTCAAATTTACGAAACATTTGGAATTCTATACATCTCATTATTAAGTCGTATTTGTTATATCCTAGTAAAGATTAAATCATAGGTAACTTCTGAGATCTATTGATGGACTAATATTATGTACATATATTCTTATTAACTAGATGGTGATTGGAGGTAGTCGACAGGAAACCCTGGAACCGGGTTTCGTGTTACTTGGCACTCGTCAACAAGGTGTGCCTGTAATCTTAAGGGAACTGGTGATCCCTGGCGGATTCGATCTCGTGTCACCCAGCTTCGCAGTCAGAGACGTTACCACTGAGCTATCTGGGCCGGGACCGACCTCCTGTAGGACTGAGATGTGATCACTGGGTGACCAATGTCATGCGTGTCTAGTCCTTATTATTAGTGCACATCGAATGCTATCGATCATGTTGCAATGTGGCCACCAGTCTAGGTGACTCGACACCGCGGGCACCAGTTCCCTTAAGATTACAGGTACACCTTGTTGACGAGTGCCAAGTAGCACGAAACCCGGGTCCAGGGTTTCCTGTCGACTACCTCCAACCACCATCTAATCTTACAATAGTGGCCGCACTGTCGAGTCACCTAGATTGGTGGCCACATTGCAACATGATCAATAGCATTCGATGTGCACTAATAATAAGGACTAGACACGCATGACATTGGTCACCCAGTGATCAATCAATTGTGATTCTTATCAACTGTTCAGTTACTGGATTATGTATATCTATCTTACACCTATTATAAGCTCTTTTTTGACCTATAGACTATTATGATATGATTTACTATCCTCAAATTATGCCAAATTTATTGATTACAGTCTCCCACAATCACAGCCACTTATTATCTTGATCATGTACAAACGTTAATTCGTATTTTATAGGGTGATGTGGTCTATTTAGCTGGTAATATGAACCAGGTTTGTTTGAAGTAAATGATTCGTATGGTGGAAGCAGGTATTGATTTCCTTGCCTCAACTGGTAGCGCTGGGAGGACAAAGGATCAATAAGGACGTTAGGCTGCTCGTAGCACTCGGACTTCATTGGTTTGGCACAGTGCTAAGATTGTATAAGTTGTCTTCTGGTTGGCGAATGAGTCACGTGATAGCTAGCCGGGCTTAAAGACACAACCATAGTAATAAGTGGGTGGTGAATAAATAAGTTCCAATCAATAGTTTGTTTTCTTATTTGTGTCAGCGTAGGAGTCTTGTTCATTGGAATAAATAACCACTGGCAATCATAACATAGTAATGGCAAACAAGTACACAAGTAACAACACTGACATATCGGTTTTATTCAAGTCATTACACTTATGGTAGCTGACGATAACAGTCGACTGATAAAATTGGAACTAATAAATTAGCCATTAAACGGTGGACTTACATTTAAGAAAAGAATTATTGATGAGACTGTGACTTATGGACGAACCAATCAGATTTAAAATAGATCTTAGATTTTGGCGCAAAATTCATTCATCCAATTAGCTAAATAGCCTTTTGGCATTTTAGCTGATATCAGTTCGTGATGAAAACCCTAAATCTAATTCCTAACCTTAATCATTAACTGTAAACTACAATCCTTATACTTCACACAGGCTCATAAACCTCATTTAGCCCAAATAAGTAGGTGGACATTCTGAAGGTCACTTTAGGGTCGGTCAAATGTCGTCCATAAATTGTAGTTTGGCCACGTAGACGAATAATATTATAGCGATGAAGCACCTTTTAGTAACATAACTATGATTTACAGTTGGTTCATCACAAGTTATACATACTTTCTGTTTGAGTAATGAACATGAAGACAATGTCTTTAACCTGTAGACTTATTAAGGTAGATGAACGTTTGTTGAACATGTATTGAATAAAGTACTATTAATTATACTTTTTCTTAACCATGAAATAGACCCCATCTGTTTACTGTAATCATTACTCAACCATCGTGTCTAAATTATTGATTAAAACACAGATATTTGACCTGGATTGAATTAACTGATTAGCCACATTATCCTAGAAGGACTATATATAAACAACAGTATATAGTTGTATTTGTAACAATATGAAATGTAACAAAATCTTATATCGGTCAAGGTTGAAAAGTAATTTGAACGGAAATAACACAATGTTCAAGGATGCAAATAAAGTACAAGTTGAGGGTAGCAATGGAATCCAATATTTACGTTTCATCCTAAATGTTACTCGTCAACTAGATATTATCTGTATCCCAGGTTTAGTACATAAAATGGATATATTGATGCAATCTACTCAAGTTGCACATATGCTGACAAAGATTGATCAAAATCCAGTCCTGAATATGAATAATGGGATAATACAAATCTTCATCAATAATGTAAGAAGTGAAGCTGGGTAGATTGGTTGAAATTAAGATAAGAGAAAATTATGAACACGAGCTTTGAGAACATTTTTTAAGTAGTTGATTATTTACTGATTAGTAGACAATATCATTCTTCAATTGTGACTATTATCCAACTGGTGCACATTGTGCTTACTTCTACGCTCAAAATTCGAATTGTCCTATCGCTTAGATTTCCTTTCTAGATGAGTTAACAAATCTTATCATATTTGATGAGAACAGCATTATACTCATAAACACCAAGCAAATAACTTACTAGCTACACGCTAGATTAATGTAAGGTGCTTGATGCTTTTAGTATTGGTAAGTATCAGGATATTTTACTTGTTATTTCTGAAATGTCTTCCAACTTCTAATTTAGGTGTATAAAGAAACAGGTGGTACTGGTACCCCATTACTGTGATATCCATAGTCACTTAGCTCATGTTTTTTATATTTTCCTAGCAATTAAGTTGTGCAATATCGACAAATGTTGATACTTAAGAAAATCTGGCCAAGAACAAGTATTATATCATATAAATTCATTAACTCTGTCAGATGAGACTGATTAGATAAATCAATGCAAATAACTTAGATTAGAAAAGGTTTTTTAAAGCCCATTAACAGAACTCAATTTACTTTTAAAGCGCATGTATCGAACTTTTTAACTACCAATATAATTTTCATCACGGATTGATATTAGTTGAAGAAGGATTGAAACCCAGGAAATCAATTAAGGGTATCAGTTCTTCCAATCACAGAAGAGAATTTTGTTATTTCCCAATGTTTCCATTTGATCTATATCTGCCTTAGTTACTGACTCTGTGAACCAATGATTTGCTCAACATGCACAAAAATTGCTAAATTCAAAACTTATAATGTAATATTCAAATCATATAGAGTACTTTATCGATAAAATATCATTTGTTCGATGAAAACTAATTTTTATCCATCAGCGACGAATCTCAGTTGCCATATCGTTGAAAAGCAGGGAGCACTGAAAAACTCCTTTGTTCTAGTACGGATTCTTCTGTAGTGTACATTCACAAACTTGTAGGAAATAGAACCCAACATTACAAGTTCTGACAGCAAAAACTGTGGAAATAATTTGCAGTGGTTTACATTCATAACTTCAATTTTTCACAAAATTGCGTAATTATTTCCTAATTTTATTTTGATGAAGGAGACTGAAGAATGATTTTGCTAATTTTTAGTGCAGTGAGTTTTGAATCATTTGAATGACTTCCAAACATAGCTTAGTATATCGTTGGGTTATTACTATTAGAATTGCATATTGGATTCACATGGCATATACACAGTGTTTTCAACATTCTTTTAGATGTTCAGCGGAAAAAGACAATGAAAGCTTTACAACAACAAAATACTCAGTTCATAGATATACAACACCACGAAATGCATTCATCTGAGCTAAAAATATTCTGGTAATTTAACCTTTAACCATCACTCTAAAAAATAAACTGACAAAAGGGTTTACAGTATTTGTTAGTATAATACTGTAGAAAATTCCATCATTTAATCTGACGAAATAATAACAACGTCAACAAGGCGGTTGATCTAAGTATTCAGCACAGAAAAACAAACATAGTAAACGCATTCCATCAAGATATTTTGTACAGATATTTCAATTTACGCTAGCTAGACTTCAGAATATAAAAAATTTGGAGACATATATATAAATGAAAAAAAAACAAATTATAGATGAGAATTAGCCAACGGAAGAAGTCATTATGGTCATTTTGTACAATGGACGCATGATCAAAACAAAACGCTATAATTACGATTGTGGTAAACATACAATCTGTAACAATTGGCCTTCAACAAAACAATTTTCTCCAACATGTTGTTTGAGTGAACAATTTAAATCAAGCAATGAATTTGAAACAATATCATTTTGATTTTGTCTACAATCAGTAGCAAAGTATTCATCTAATTCGTCGGATAATCGAATTAAACCGTATTTCTGTAAACAGAATACAAAAATAGAATAATACAAGATTAATCAGAAAA